AGGCCAAAAGAGCACAGCCTGTGACTTCTTGTGACATTGAATCACGCTCGAAGCTGACAATTACTGGTTCTGAAACCTGGTCCTAACGGAACCAGGAATAACATTCGACAGTGGACTGAGTAGGGTGTGAGCGATGGAGGTACTAAGTTTACAGTACAGTACATAGTACAAGGGATCGTGATGGAGTGCATAACAGTGCGCAGGAACGAAAGCAGATTGGGAGTAAGTAAGCAGTCATATTAGAGAGGGTCCTTGCCATCAGCATCGACCAGACGTATATTCTTGCGGGCAAGGCGCCGTCGCCACAATCGCATCTCCCCTTGGACACCAGCCTCAAGCGCCTTGCTCGAGACGCCGGAGCGCAGCCAGCGAACACCACGCACTCGCACGATACGGAGCGCTGGTAGGTGGGCCAACAGAACCTCTAGAGCATGTAGAAAGCGCGCGTTCGGTCGCGGTATTGTGAGCGTATGTAGCGGGTGAAGTATGCCGGTTGGCGACGCCAGTATCGGAAGTGGGTATTCGAGTGACAGTTGGCGTAGACGGGGAGATGTGATTAGAATGGTGGAGGGCTGAGCATCCACAATGGTGCCCCAGTGCTTTGGAGGTTGTAGGTTTAGGTTGCTGAGATTGGCGCCGTGCCTTGATAGTATGAGGGCGGTAACAGGGCACGGTGAATCGCTGTAGGGCGTGATCATGAGTTGGCGTAATGCAGGGACTTCGGCGCGCAGCAGGGCCGCCATGATGGGAGTTGGTGAGGGTGTTTGGAGGTACAAGGAAGTGAGTCTTGGAAGGCTTAGGGATGGTAGGTCCGGAAAGACCTCAAGGTCTTCCAGATCCAGTAAGGCGGTCTCTTCGTTAGGTGGCCCGCCATCGTTGACAATCTCGAGCTGCTCCAGCCCACTACACCGCTGCAGAATAGTCAAAGTGGGATCTAGAGTGCTGGCACTCGCTCCCCAGTCCCCGTCTCCATGTACGACCTTGAAACCCATGAGAGACTTCAGTCGCTGAAGCCCCTCCTTATCACTAAGGCTTGCGAGTGCGCTGCGACTGAGAGCGTAGTCGGGGCACAACGATAGCCTTTCGAGGTACGGGACTAGAGGGAACATCTTCGCGAGTAGGAGATCGATGGCCATGGCGGCGGCTGGTATGCTGGACCTGACTTCTGAGACGTCCAATGAGCGGACCCAGCGATTCGGGGTCGCGTGCGGGATGCGGCGAATGGAGTCCCATTTCTGGTCCGCGTTGTGCAGCAGAGTGACGAGCTTGTCGAGTGACGACAAGGTGAAGACATGCAGATGTTGGTAGAGCAAAGGCTTTGCGATTTCCTTGTGAGGATATGTGAGTCCCGAGCTGTCAGCCTGATCATATGGTACGCACCGCCCATGACTTGCAGACGCTTAGAAGATGCCAGCGCCTACAGACTTGCTTCCTTCGTTCCGCCACAGGTAGACGCTCCAGCCAATCATTGCCTTGACCCAAAACATGGAATAGGATACGGGTCCACAGTTCGAATGGAAGATGGATAGGAGGTGGTCGCTCGGGCAAAAGGCGAACGAGCGCCAGACAAGCAGGCTCCTTCGTGAGAGGGCGCGGTCGTAGTAGTATGACCTTGTTGTCCGACTCTGTGCGTGTATGGCTCATGCGGGATGTATGGCAGGGTCGTGTACGAGCGTCAAGATGTCCGTCAGGAACGACGCGCTCGACCGGAGTAATCGTGGTCGTCCGACGAAACTAGGGATCACACGCAAACAAGGCGGTATATAAGGCTCATGGGCGCGCGCCAGAGCGTGAGCGCACAGAAGTTGTTGGCCGTAAGGCAAGACGTGCTCGTGTCGGATTCGGGTGCGGGGTCGACACGCACGGATAAACTCGTGCCGGAAAGCGGGGAGCCGCCAAGCGCGCCACTCGGCTCGCTCGACATCCTTCCGGGTGGATCCGACCACTTTGTACTCTACTTCAAGAGATCGACCTTCATTCACCATGACCAAGGAGATCTCCTATAACGCTCTATCGACCTGTAAGGAACGCTGACCTGGACGAGTCACTCTCAGGCTCAGGCGATACGGTATAACGAGCAAGTCTTGGGGTAGAGGCAAAGAGGTGCGAGAAGAAAGACATCTATACATTGGTACACACATTTGGAGAGTACAGTACAACAAGAAATCATTCGCCATCGGCATCCGCACAATCGTACATCTCACTGAGGGAAATCGTTACTCAGACAAAGAACAGTTTGCCTTGCATCGCTCCGTGCACCACGGGACCCGTCGGCAGGGCTTGCTTCCAGACGGCAAGGTTAAATTCGTCTTCGGAAGCGACGGTCATGTTGTCTGTATTGAAGGCGGGCGAGTCCGGCGCGATATAGTTGAAGGCCTCGGCGGCGAGTAGCTGTAAAGGAAAAGTTAGTTACCTGCAGTCAGAAGCAAATCCTGGGATCTCACATCCGCATCTGCAGAAAGTGATCAGCGACCTAACCCTTGACGTTGAAATATGGAACACGTACAATGGACAGGCGCCGGGAGTGCGACAGAACGCGTGGTCCTGGCGCAAACGTGACACAGATAGTACGACAGGTCCTGTATCCTGTTCACAGAAGGTTATGAGGTTCGCACGTCTGACGCGTAAGAAGTGAACACGACGCGTACATCGACAGGGTGATGGTCGGTTCGCGCTTAAGGACGACGTAGTGAGAGGGACGGGAGGCTGGCACACTCGATGAGCATCACGATCACGAGTAACTCGCAACAGTCGAACATACTTCCGAGGATACCGGCCTGGGAAACAAGATAAAAGTTCTCGTACACGCGAGACACCACCTCGTCTTCTACGAGCAAACCAGGGGGGATGTTGTTATTGGTCCTGGTCAGAAATCAGCGCCAATCAAGGCGGGTGAGACGAGATCAAAGCGCACTGTTGGTCAACATGCGGCAGGAAACGCATATGGTGGCTGAATGATACGGTCAGCAGAAGGACAGGTAAAGCAGCGTACGAGCGTACCGCTTCTCCACCACTATGAAGGTAAACTTGAACTGGAATGGGAGTCCGAGCCCCTTGGCAGCGCGCTCCCAGGCCTCTGCAGTAGAAGTCAAACATAGACCATGTCAGTATGTGTCGGGAGGTGCTTACGCCGGATGTGAGTCTCTTCGTATTTACCGGTATCGACATATTGGCCCTCACTTATGCCGTCCCTGAAGTAGATAATCCGCTCAGGAAGCTTATTGTTGTTGCTAGTCCACCACCGCCGGAGAGCGTCCTACCTCCACGGACGCGTGAGCCGAGTTTCCTTGATAGAAAGAACTTTACACGAACGTAGATCAGATCGCGCAGGTTCTCAATGCGCTCAAGGCGAGGCGGCTGAACGTCCATGCACGAAAAGTATTTCGCCCAACCTGGGTCCAAAGAGGTCACGACGGACGCGATTGACGGACGAGTGACAAGACCAGGGCCCGGGTGGGTGACATCGGCACCTGTAAAGAGGTATGAGCACTTTCATGCAAGAAGAGTCGGAAAGAGACGCGCCGATAATCATAGTACCCGATGACAGGCTCTCAAGTGTGGGGTTCGAAGCGATGTTGTTGATGCCGCCAAGCTTCGCATTCAGTCTGTAAATGAAGTCACACAGATGTCGAAAGGCGATGCGGAGAAAAGACGCACTTCATGGCAATATTGTTGCCGAACAGCGGCGTGGGGTTCACTTTAGCGGCGTACTAGGTAAACGTTAGACTTCATATCATCCCGGCACGGTAGAACGGTTGATGGCGCACCATGCACTGAGTGGTAACGCCTTCCTGTATGTCGCCCCAGTACTTGATGCGACGATGTAGGTCCGAGGCGCCGCCGCCCTCCGCCAATAGGAAAAACATGACCGCAGGAGGTTGCAGCTGCTGGTACTTGATCTGGGTAAGTGTCTGTGATGGATGTCAGACAGTTCGTGACGGGCTGGCGTAAACGTTATACCTTCTCCTGCACGCCCTGCATGTCGATGATGATAAGAGGCTCCTTGGGCACACCTGCATTACGGTCAGAGGACGTCCAAAGGCAAGCACTCGAAGATTGGACGCACACATGCCTGGCGAGGCAGTTTAGTCAATCGTTGCCGGCCCAGAAATCAGCGATGGAACTCACCCCGGTCTTGGCAGCTGCGCGCGATCGCACCCATGAAGGTCCTCGCGTATTCTTGTGTGGGCTGAAGGCCCTGCCTGACAGTGCGGACACTGGGACCGATAAGGTTGATGACCACCCAGGACTGTATGATCTTAGGCTCGATGAACTGATTGCGCGAGATGTCCCAGTCCCCGGTAAGCTAGAGTCGCTCAGACAAACACTATAATAATGGCACGTAGACAACGCACCACTTGAACACTGGATTGTTGACGATATACAACTTTGGGTGCACCAATGCGGGAGGCACGGATCACCATAGGGTTTGTAGCGACTGACATCTGCGCTTCAAGAACGAACTGCGAATCTTGGTGCGCGAAGAACTATAACCCACATTGAGCGCAGGTGCATGATGCAGCAGGACAGACTCACCGCTATCCCGTTCTGGATCGTCTGTTGCCGGTTGATCGGAGTCTTGGTCATCTCGTCAACAGCCATCGTCTGGTCAAATTTGCTGAGTTGGAAGGGGTAGCGCTGGCCTGGCAGAATAGTGCAGAGCTCAATGGGAACGATAACCTTCTTCTTGTCATCAAGATAGACACCGGGAAGCTTGGGGTACTTGAGAGGATGATTGAGCTGCTGGAAGTGCGTCTATCTTGGGCATGAGCGAGGAGGAATTGCGAGTATAAAGCGTAAAAAGCGATACCTCGATGGTAATGCGGTCGTCTCCGCGGTCAAACTCTATCTCGCCGGCGTGCGGGATGATGCCACGAATCTTGCGCTGACGAACACGATTGGACCTGTACTCGACGCGTACATTGTTCAACTTGGTTTTGAGATCACGCCAGCGAGGGCTGGCCGGCTCCAAGACCTCTAAGTCGCGGAGGTTCTGGAACTCCATGTAGTTCATGATCCAATCGAGAAGTGCGCTCGCGGGGTACCTGCGCACAGTCAGCTAACCGCGCGACGAGACGTAGGTCCGAGGACTGACATAAGCGTCGAAGCTATGTCAAGATTAACGACGAGACCGTTGCGGACGGGTTTAATTGACCTTCAATTTGTCAGCTGTAGACCTCGCTCGTGCACGAGAACACGCACTGATAGAAGCCATGGAACATATCCACTGTCCGGCTGGGGAGTAAGACGGGCTGCGCGCGCTGGGGGAAGAAGACAGAACGCCGAGGATTGAAGTACGACGAGTCGCTGTCAGGAATGTCAGTGGCGTTCTCATACGCAAGCAAAGGTCTTGGCTGACCGTGCCGCCTTCTCTTGGGAGAGCAACTGAAGAAGATTGATGATGACCGGATCGAGCGCGTTGTTCCCGCCCACCTCCTGCACGCTATACAAGCCTTGGTGATCAGTGCAAGAGCACATATAAGGTACCGCTCACGAACCTCAGAGGTCTAATGTCGCTTACACGATCCATCTTGACATGGAATGTGCCGCCGGCTTGGCCATTCGATCCAACAGGGAGATCCACAGACCACTGTATGCAGAGTTGAGTTGACTGATAAACAAAGGATCGGTGCACTCACATTGCCAGCGAGGTTGTCGCTTTGCGAAAAGAACAACGCCTGCCCGTCGTACACGCCTTGTGGCGAGAACTGTGCGATATACTGGCGCTGCATATGGTCGATGACGATGCGCTGCTTCTTGGCAGTCCTAGCCTCGGGTGTGATGGCTGTCGTGCAGTCAGCATGATGCCGATGGAGAAGACGTAGAATCACTCACAGACTATGAGAGGGCGAAGAGGTGAACATCAGAGGCAGGCGCAGGTTAGCAAGCAGAGACAAAGGTCATACCTTGGTACTGATAAAAGGAGACCTTGGGAAGTTGAGTGATGGCATATGCATTAGCGATGACTGTCAAAGGGACACGCGTTCCGACGTTGGGACCAGGGGGTGGCTTGCCGCCGCGACCACCGCCGCCGCCGCGACCACGACCGCCGCCAGCACCGCGGGGAGGACCGCCGCCTCCACGATAGGGACCTCCGCGCCCAGGAGCACCGCGAAAAGACATGTTCACAGATAGTTCAGGAATGCAAGGAGAAGATGGGAGGGGAGAGAGAACAAGGAGAAGAGCGGCATTCGAGCGTACCAAGATAAAGGACATGGGCGGCGCCTCGAGGTCGCCTCGTGACTGCAAGTTGAACTTGACCGCGCCAACCAGAACTTAGCCGAGCAGCACGAGCGCCACGGTGCGCCCTACAGCGCTTCACACTGGTGGCAAAAGACGTAGAGGGGCTATATGTCGTAATACCATGGTCTGTCTGCAGGGTCCATACATCCTAAATGGTCGCAAGGATGCGCTGATAGTCCTCCTTTACGCTCTGGAAGGTCTCCTCCAGTTTCTCTAAGCGCTCCTTGTCCTCTAGTTGGGCCAGCGCATCCTACACGCAGCGTCAGCAGTGGCTCATCGGGTCAAAGGGCATCGGGTCCATACGTAGTTGAAGCGGTATAGTCGCTCTTTGACTTGTAACCTGTACGCTTTCGCGGCAAGCGTATCCGCGGGGTCCAGATGAAGAAGGATCAGCATCTCAACGAGGCGATGATATTGGCGCTGTATGTAGACATCAAATAATGCACAGCACGAACATTCCTTGAGAATACGCACGGCGGCCAATTTGAATTGAACGCGCCACTTCTCGAGCCACGCCTTATCCGACGGGGGGCCCATCTTGCCCTTGGATTTCGCAGCGCGCTTTCCCGCGCGTCCTCCTGGCCGTACACCGCCCACTTTGCCTCCACCGGCTGACGCAAGGCTAGAGTCGCCAAAGGCTTCCTGCATGAATTGAGTTTGCTTTAGGAGCATGCGCATATCTACGCGGTCGCGCAGATCTTCGAAAGCTTCTGCGGGGTCTTCGACTGTCAGCTCGCCTATGTGCGGCTGGGATAACACGTATTGATAGATCGCCGTGTAGAGTTCCTCTGCATCTTCGTCAGAAACAGTGTGGTACTCGGTCCAACACGTCACTCACGGCCATGGCCCTGATGTTGAAAAGGCGAGACGATGACAAACTGGCTAACCATGACACCATTAACACGAGTGCCACAGCTAGATGATACGCGGTGCAACGAACCTCAGTCGGAGTCGAACCTTGTCGGGGAAGCAGAAGAACGGGTATAGCGTCGAATAGCCGATGAAGTGATAAGTTTCGGTGTGATCAGCATCCCTTCGTTTGCGCTTCTCGTAGCTACAAGACCAATAAGCACGGGTGATAGACTGCAGAAGAATGACGAACAGTACGACAAATTGCCACTCTTCTTCTTCCTCGCTAATGTATGAACCGCCCTCTACGTAGAGTAGAATGAATGTCTGCATTCGTCTATGGTGTTCCCTGAAGCCTGGGGTGTCCCATTTCGCCTGGAGACGTCAGCACGGGAACCTGGGATGTTTGAAGATATACACACGTGGTAAACCTCATACACAATGGCATCTTCGTCCTCTGCTGGGAGGGCCGTCGCAACACTCTTGCCCTTCGAACGAGATGACGGACTAGGACGCGTGTAGGAGTATATCTTCTCGCCAACCGGCTTGAATCCCACCGCGTCTTCTTCGACGCGAGCCAGGAAGTCGGCCTCTGACTTGTAGTAGTCGGGTGTGATGTACTTTTCGATCGTTCCCTTGACGTCGTCGACGGTATTTGACGCAGATGCAGTCAATTTCGCGGAGTGGCGCACGTCGAGGTACTGCGCCAGCGAGCCTGAAGCAAACCGAAGCTGATCATAACCGTCAGTGTAAGAGCAGCCCAGACCAGGAAGGGAACACACATCTATAACCAAGTCTCGGTATCCGTATATCTTCTCGTCTTCTCCATAAATCTGCATTTGCTCAACCGACTGTTCGGGTACAAGTACGACACTGGGTACGCACCGGATACGTGAATGTGGGATGAAAGTCTTCGTACTTCTCCTCTTCACCTAGTACTTCCTTATCTTTCTTGCCCCGCACTAACTTGACGCTCAGTGATAGGCGCCCGGTATGACATGATTGTAGAGCCTACCGAGAGACAAGTGCAAGGCCTCGTTCGAGTCCGAAGTCCAGTCTGACATAGAAGCTCTAGACGCGGCCAAAGACTCTCAAGGATAGGTATAAGTCTGGATGGTGGCAGTCGACTGGCTAGGTCGAGCTTTAATCGAGTGGTCGACCGCGTCGGTGGTGATGGTGCGGGAGCAAGAGTTGGTTCAACCGCGACGCGATACGTCACGCGTCGGGTCACAGAATAGCGATGACCACAAACTGCAGCATGATAATTGTCTGTCAGAAGGAAACGACGTATGCTATCTCCATGTGAGTATTGGAGTAGTGTGTACATTTAGGTGGGTGTATATAGGAGCACGGGAACATGGTGGCTAGCAGGGCCGCGGAGGTAGCTATACCAACGATCAACGGCGCGCACCCTTCTTCACGATCTCATCCTCGTTGACCGAGTGCAGCATGAGCTTATTAGGCGTCGTAGGCGTCATCCCGGAGTAGCCCTTGTGCCAATCGTAAGACACAGCGTACGCGAGTATCGACCCAGTGTGGTTGTACGCGGACGCGGAGATTGAGCCCGCCTGACTATCAAAAGCTTCGTTCACAGCGTCAGTAAAAGCGGGAGCTGCGACGGGAAGGGAAGGTCATACCGGCCAAACGCGTGCGCGCATCTCGATCCCAGCATACTATGCAACATAAGAATGGAGTAAATTCACGAGATCAACCTGGCTTACCGATACCACCGTCGGAGCCTAGAAAGCATCGTCAGCATGCGAATCAACCAGGGTTAACGGGGATTGACCGTACCGCATGTAACGAACGCGCTCTGCTGTTTCGGATGGAAAATGACAGAGTTGACCGCATTCACCATGTAGTCTGACTTGGTGATTTCCTTCCTGTGGCAGCGGAAGGTGTATGCTTTGCTGCAGTTCCCAGACATATCAGTGACCTGAAGCGGAAAGCGTTATATGGGAGTGCTTACTCCTTCGACTTTTCGTCAATGTATTCCATCGCCACCCGGCCCTCGACGCTACCAATGGCAAAGCCATCTGCTGAATGGAAACAGGTCACTACGCGGGTCTGCCACCTGAGGGGCGATGTGTACGACTGACGACTGCGTTAGCGTACGGAGAAGTCGGAGGGTATACATAGCACTCACCTTGAAGGCCTTGTTAGGATTCGTCAAGTTGAAGACCTCGAGTCCTCGGTTGGCAGTCCCAACGACGAGTAGCGGATAGACAGCGTCCATAGTGTAGCACCTTTCTGGGAGTTGTATTGTGGCGATAGGTTGCGGCGTTCTCAGGTCCCAGTACTACTACTCGTTACCACACTGGCTTGGGTTCGCTCAAATCGGCCCGGCGTACCTTCAGCATTTTATCCCAGCCACCGGTAGCAAGGATAGTTCCTTGCGGCGACTCAAATAGCCTTACAGACTTCACAGGTGCATCATGCGCCGCCACTTGCTGGAACTGGCCCGTAGACACGTCGTACAAGCGCGCAGCATGATCTGCACCACCTGAGATGATCTGCGTGCCAGCCTACTCGAATACAACATGTGACATTGTGCAGTATACGGAGTTGACAGCGATAGTATAGTGCAATTGGAGTAATGGTGAATCTCTCTTCGATATATACGACAGTAAGAGTTGATATCTAACCTTGTTCCAGCATACGTCCAACACTGGCGCAGGGTGACTATACATCGCCTTGCCCTGTGTTTGTCCATCCGCTCCGACCTCATATATGCGCACCTATATGAAATCATCAGATAAAAGGACATATGTAGGGCAGAGTTTAACGCACATTGTTGTCCCAGCTGCCTACCGCGAGATAGTCTGCAACAGGTGAGAAGGACAAGGACGAGATGGAATCCTCAGGCAAGTTCGCAACTTCCACATCCTTCTTGGCAGGAGCCGCCGACGCAGTTCGAAATAGAGCGGACATCGATATTGAGAGGGTGCTGGTGGTGGTGTGCGAACAAGTGGCAACTGGCGTGCACGCGCGACACGACGCGGAACCGTTGCCGCGGCACTGACTCCGCACCTCCACCATCATCCATTGCGGTCCCGAACCAGCCTCTCAGAACGCTATGAACCTACACGAGCATCTCATATCCTGCATTATGGTTCTCCTATACATATGTGCACACCCCGGAGTTCTATTTCGGACCATTCGTTCGAGAGAATTGCTAGGTTCAAGCGACCGTCACTGCCTCCAACCTGAGTACAATGCGCTCTACGACATCTGGACTGTCCACGTCTAGTACTCTGCGCTCTCGCTTGGCAGTGACGTCTCGAAGACTCGGCATGAGCATACGGTACCACGATATGAAGTCATATCTTCACATCCGGGTAGCTTGACCTCGTTCTCTGCCTCATGATTTCTTCTCACCGGCTTTACTTATTACTTTGTATGCTGATTTGTGCGTGACTGATAGCAGTCATGTGCATATAGCTCTTAAACACTACGAGGGCGAAGGGACCCACAAGACTTGAACAAGACTTGAACCCAGTACAAGATCTTCTCACAAGACACAAACTACCGGTGGGCCTGTTGAGACTACCATATATTATTTAAAGTCTAACTCGAACACATGGGCGTGTGGCACAGTGGTAGCGCGCTTGCTTCGCATCACGTGATTGCATGAGGTCTTGGGTTCAATCCCCAACTCGTCCATTCTTTTTCTCCAGTCTTCAGACTCCATCCGCCTTGACAGTGTTCGCTATTGTAGACTTATGTTTGTTCTCTCGCAACCTCCGCAGTGTATCGACAGATTTCTTCTCCTTCTGAGCGCAAATCAGTGGGTTTTCTTATCCAGTTTCACCGAGCATCGCTCAAACAAACGCGCCCACGGCGATAGGCCATCACAATCCCACAGTGTGCACGTATGCACCCTCACGCCGCATTGCCACCCTTATCTAGCGAGGCGCAGCCAGTAGCATAATTCGCTCGGGTGCTTGGGCAGTTATGCTGGAGAATGCCACGGCGGACAAGATGATAAGAGCGCCTACATTCGTACACGCGGCCCAACAGGTCCGCCACATCCACGGCTGCGCCCCGCCGGTGCTCGGTGCGTCCACAAACATGAAACGCACCCTCGCCAATTATCGGAACGTTCGGAAGTGGCACGTTCGCCTTCACGATCCGCTCGTGCGTGGAGTTTCAATATAGAGGGGACAACCGATATATTGCAAACGAACAAGATCTGCGAGCCTCAAACTCGAAATCGTACCGTCCGCACCCGTCCGCGCCCGACAAATCTTTCTGCCCTGTCAAAATGTCAGATCTGTACTTTGAACGTGTGCTGGGCGCTGTAGAGATCTATGCAGAGATTTGACGAACCGCAGTGTTTCGCATTTACAGTTGACGGAACCTTGTGCAATGTGGCCCGCCTCGCTGCGATCTGCGGTGCCGTCAAGGAAGTCGGGATTGAGGCGCGTCGAGTTAGGCCGTGGGTGGCGTGGGTGGCCTCCCGGACGCGTGTACGGGTCGACGACGGCGAGCCTGACAGGTTTGTTGTGTGGCGCTCAACGTTGTTGATGCTGTGTAATGCGCATGCTTGCATGAATCAGCGACGAGCCTGGAAGTGAACGCGCGAGGCTGGTCAAAGCCAAGTCAAAGCTGCGCTCGCGGATCGCCTGTGTGAGCTGTGGCGCAACCCGATAAGCCCTACATGAGGCGGACGGCGCGACGGCGGTCTCGAGCTCGTCTGTGTGAGCCTCGCCTCTGGCAAACGTGCGGTGGAGACGAGATACATGGATGTGTATTTGCAATGAGAACACTGTCACGAAGTGTAGGCGAAAGTTGCGATCTGGAGGCAGACCGCGACGAGCCCGGACTGAGAAGCGTTGCGCGTCGCCAGGCGACGCGTACTCGAGGTGAACTGTATTGACAGGCGGACTCAGGGTCGCATGGATTGACTTTCACTGTCTGTAGGCCGTGTGTTGCGGAAACATGTCCGCCTGTAGAGTCGCCGGCGGTCGGTGGCAAGGACCTCTCAGGTTCTCTCTTGATGCTACGCTGAGAGAGGTACGGCTACCAAAAGATCCCCGTTGCTTCATCTTGACCCGCCAAAGACGAGTACGCCATCCATCGTGGTACATATGTGGCAGATGTGGCGGTTGCTATTGCCTGTGGGAGCCGGATGCCGCACGTCAAACGAGAAGAACAACACTGTCCGTTCCTGAATACTCTACAAATGCTGTCAGCGGCTTTGTATCCGTTACACGCGCATCACGAAGACGTACCCTCGTACAGATCGTTCCCTGAAAGCGCCCACGTCGAAGAGCTACAGAACATATTGTTCGGCGACCGCGGTCTCGAGAAGAGTCGCCGGTTCTTCCGCGGGAGGAACCGTCCAAACGAGATCATCGCCGGCGGTCAACGAAGCTGAGAGCTTTGCAGCCAGAAGCTAGCAACGGCCCGAGGCAAAGAGAAAGCCAGCGACAAACGTGCGCACACATGCGGCCCGACTCAGGCAGACCTATTCCCAAACACGGAGAGACGAATGTGCTGGAAGGAGGGAAGCAAAGGGACGTGAACACGGGCCCCGGACGCGTCTTCTCCCGAGGAACACCGTACTCGAATCGGGAGAGCGGCTGTGTGCGTCGTGAGCCGCGGCGGTCGCGGGCGTTCGAGTTGAGCGCTGGACTGACGTCGTCATGGGAGGCGCGTTCATCTCGTCCGCCGACCTCCTGGTGCGCCGCCCACGCCATGCGCCCGGATAGCGATCCTCCAGCGGCATGCATATTCGAGCGCGCAAAGGCGATGTCCCACGCGATTGCCAGAGATGAAGGGACAAGGGCCGGGCTATCTGGAGAAGCATCGTCGGTGGGCAGGAGATGAGGCTGGGATGGGAAGTAGACGCGGTCACGCGAGCTGGGCGGTGTTCATCTTCACCGCCCGTCCTCGTCCGTCTGGCCGTACACGGATGCCAAGACTGGGAAAACGGCATATCCAGTTACGAGCGTATGTGTAGATCGCATGGGAGCGGGGAGCGCTGAACGTGATCTTGTACCCGTCGTTGTGAGCCGGCAGCGCATCAAAGCTGGAGGGGGTGAGTATAGTGTTAGACGTCAAAGCTCGCCGCCTTACTCACCAGGATCTCAACGTGACCGTCAGCATATAAACGTAGGTTGAAAGTGGGGCCAGAGGAAGCGGGTAGGTGTCTTGGCTCTTATCCTCGGCAGGGCGCCGGTCGATACGGAGGATGCGGGGAAAGCGCCGGAAGGCGAGATAGAACCGTCCACGCACAGCATAGTCCGCCGCTAGCAGGAGCGAACTCAGGGTACGCGAACCTAGGGGAGCATGGAAAGGAGCCCCAAAACTACGCCCAGACACGCGCATATAAACAGCGTAAAGCCCTCATCGCGTACATCCAACGGCGAAAGACCCTCGCGTGGCAGGTGATCGTTATCGCGAACGCATAGCGAGAAGCGGAAAGGCCTGGGATACGGCGTCTCGTAGACTGTACGAGCTTGCGCAATTGAGGTATAGCGTAGGATGAGTTGCGGGGAAGTGGCACTCAAGGAATAGCAAGCCGAGAGGAAACAGCGTTGCCGGAAGGAGTATGTGCTTCCTTTTTCCCGCGTGTTGAGCAAACTTGCGAGTCCCGCCATAGTATAAGCCCGTATACATGCTGGGCTTTGACTATTCCGATCAGGAAGGCAAGGGGAACAGACGTGCTTTGGCCTGATTGCCGTCAGCACGAAGGACTTCCCCGAGGTCGTGCGCCGCCGTAACAAGACGGGCTCCACTGCGTCTGACTGAGCTTGTACGTCGCATGGAAGGATGGTTCGCGGGTAAGGCATTCATCTGGCGTGCAGGTTTGCCTGTTGTGCGAGCGAACTCCTTCTACGAGGTCGTGTGCCGCAAAATCCACACGAGCGAACGTCATCGTTGTGTGAATCTGTATACCCCCTAAAGATCGACCGCAAGCAGGCGTACACATATCGCGCAGCATACCGTTAGGTGATGCGGCAGGTGCTCACTTGCCCTCCGATCGCAAGAAGGAGCAAGCAGCCAAGCGTACGGAGGTCTGATTGTATCGCCTGGTGAAGTACTTCCTGGTCTTTCGCCCGTAGACCTTGGCGAGCGACGACTGACGGTGAACTCGGGCCCAGCCTGTGGCGAATATCCCGCCGTTGCGGGGACTCAAGGTCGCGTGCGCCTGACTCAGGGACTTGAGGTGAGGTGTAGTCGCGTGCGCACTGCGCTCTACAAGCTGTGCGCCCAGCGTCAGTCATTTTGCATGCCCAGCGAATGAACGGATAACCGGTGCGTACCCCGAAGAATTATGGCGTCCAGCTGGAAGTATGCAGGCAGCTATGCATGCATTGAGCCAGCTGGTACAAGTTCAACCTTGAACGCCGGACTTCCAACTGGGACCACGCCTTGATTGAATACCTGCAGCTTTGATTGAGCACTGAGACATTGCGTCGTAATGCGGGGTAAAGCGCGTGCCTCGCAGCGCCGTCGATAGAGATACTTCCATTTACGACGTTTGGTTGCTTCCGGCGCAGAAACTTCCGTCACAGTGTGATCGATGAGGCGGATCACACGACCTCGAGCTGGCCGCCGGATAATCGCGACGAACTACAGAGCGGCTCTTTGTTAGCCGCTTCGGGCAGCAAGAGGGCGTCGAGGTCTGAGATACACAGATAACGATGGACAGGGCCTGAAGTGCGTGGCACATCACTCGAAGATGGATCTAATGAAAACCAGATAGAACATGTCGAAAGGGCGAGTAGAAAGAGAAGCGCGATGGGCGAAGAAAGCAAGGCAGGCTGTTTGGCTGAGAGATCGATGCGAACGCGGAACAGCAGCTGTGCGCGCGGTTCGCGTGTGATTCTTCGTAGACTCTTCCGGTCTACAGCTGCAAAACAGGAGGTACAGCTATAGCATGAGTCGACTGTCAATTCCTCGGTCACGACTGTAGTCCTGGATCCTTGGCGGTCTTGCTCCGGTCTAGCAGCATCATGGTGGTCTGACGAGGAGCAGGGTCAAGTGAGAAGGCAAACAGGGAGTCGTGTGGCGCGCGACGCGGTCCCCTGACCTCTGAATCGGGCGCGGAGCCTGAGCGCGCCTATATCCCAACAAAGCCGAACGTGCGCCCCTCCTTCAGCTTCAACACGATGCTCACAAAGCGCCGAGAGAAGAAATAAAGCTGACTGTGACAAGAGGCTTGTCGCTGACGACGCAGACAACCTTGTGCGGGCTGTTGCGCTGACGATCAGGGCCGTCAGGCCGCGCAGCGCGAGGGCGGGCGGCGGTCGTGTTGAGATCGTTGGTCTCGATTCGATCGGCGTCTAAACGCCCGACGCACGGAAGCTCTCCCGCGTTCGAGATCTCATATCTTGCGAGTACAACAAGACAAAGACAGGGGCAGACAGTTGGTATGCAGGTCCAACTTGATTGTGAGAAGCGTACAAAGCAGAAGGGCATTTCTAGGGTGAAGAGGAGATAGAGCGACTGCGAAAGAAGGGTCTAGACGGGGCATGGAGAACAAAGCAGGCGTGGTGTGCGGACAGGGTTCAGTTGGTGATGGCATATCGAGCACGGATCGGGCAAGCGAGGCGCCTTTCCAGTAGACCGGCGCGGCGGATGCCGGGAATAGAGTTGCCCTTGCAGTCAATCCCTCACCGCCCTTCTTCTGACGCCAGCTGTAGAAGGCGCTCATACAGAAGGGCATCAGTAGCCCGGGCATGGACCTGCCCTGAAGGAGAGAAGAAGGGTGGATGGAAGGGATGGAGGGTGGAGATGATTGCTTGCGTAACCGGGCGGTGGCCTCTTGGCGATCTAGCTTGCCACGGGGATATATCACGATTCGTTGACGATTCGGATGACCCATACATAAGCCGAAGTCAATAATTGACGTGTGCTTTTCAACCCGTTCGAAACACCCCGCCAGACAGAAACCATGGCCGCGCTGCTTGCCAGCCCGCCGATGGCATCCATCCTTCTCAACCCGGCAGACGATGCCTTTACGCCACTCAACCCAATGTCACGCTCGATGTCCCTTCCTTCCCAGGCTCGTCCCCGCCCCCGCCGCGGGTCGTCATCGAAGGAGGGCACTCCCCAGCGCAGGATTAAATTCGCGCCTCTGCCTGACCCTCGCAAGAACGTGCTCGTGACCGAGGCAGGCGAAGAACTTCCATTACCCGATGTCTTCGACGAGGAGAAAGACACCCCTACGCTCGTCACATTCCCGCCCTCCCCTACGGCGCCTAGCCAGCCGCCGACCGCTCCTGCTCAGGTCCTGAGCTACAACTTGTCCCCTCAGCCGTCGACCGCCTCGCTCGGTCTCAGCGTCAGTGCACCATCATCACCACGTGCGCTCCGGCGGCATAGCCCTGCGCGCGACGCCAACTCTGGTCTCGCCAAGAAATGGCTTCGGCCCTTCCGTCCCCGCTCTCGCAGCCGCGACCGGGCCGACGCCTCCGCCCCCTCGACGCCCGCCACGCCCCGCTTCGACGCATCAATGCTGGGCGCGCCGCTCTCACGCTGGACTTCCGCATCGAGCGCCTCATCAAATCGCACCGCCCTCGCTCGCACAGAGTCCCGCGAGCCCAAACAGGCACCGGCGGGCGCACGCCTCATGCTCAACGGTCGCACGTACGGCGGACGCCGCGAACGGCAAGGCCCGAAGACGCCGTACACTGAGCCCGAATTCGTCGAGTGGGGCCAGGGCGGCATGGGTGCCGTTCGTAATGCGCAGTGGGGAAAGCTGCAGGGCGATGACCCGTTGCGCGGCCGGTCGAGCGCCAGAACCAGCACGGACAATGCCGATGAAGATGATGGGAGCGGCATGGCGTGGCTGAGGAAACGCAGGGCAGAGAAGGAAGCCAAGGCACGTGCGGAGAGGGAACAGGCCGGCGACGCGAGCGCAAGTAGCGCTAGCAGCACTACAAGCGAGAAGAGCTCGGGCGACGGAGGCGCCGATACGGATGTTACCGCACCTGATGAAGGCGATGAGGTCACACTCAAGTCTGAAGAGCACGAGGTCAAGGCCGTCAACGTCCAGCAGCACGCTGAGAGCTCGTCCGGAGAAGAAGAGGAAGAGGAGGACACATCCGAGAAGGAGCGCGATGAGGAGGACAGTGAAGCTGATGCGGATGATGACGAGGTATGCCGATTTCCGATTTTGATATACTCAGAATGTATTGCTTATTCGCTTCGCAGGAGGAGGATGACAACACTCGCAAGACGGCCTTAGGCGCCGGCATGGAGAAGGTCTCTCGTCACCACCACTAAACATTATTCTTTTCTCGATGCCTGGCCTATGCTCTCCACTCTCACATACCTCGCCCGCCGCACACAAAGTACCCTATACACGTCCTAAACCCTCTCGTCGCTCCGCTTCGCTCTGTACCATGCTTTCATCCCCCTCGTGAGTCCCCCTTACAGCTGACTTATCGTTGAGCTTAACGCTGACAAGCTCTTCCTTTCGCCCCTCGCAGATCCTCTGGACTCGTCTGCGGTCCATCGATTGCTGTTTCTTACGCGCGCCTCGACGCCAAGCGCTTCGCGGCCGAGGTCGGGCGCAGTCCCATCAAGCCAAGGGCAACCCGCACTCAATCCGCGCTGACCCCGAATCACAATGTGCCCCACACGCAGAGCGACGGCGGCCTCGCTACCTCGTCGCCGCTGCCCTTTCTAGGGCCGGCACGACCAGGACCGGACGCGCAGCTTGAGGGAAGCGAGCCTCGAGGGACGCATGGGAGCGCCGTCTGCATGCGTCATCGCTCCCTCGCTCAACTCACGGACACGTACACCGTGTTCCTCCCGTCTTCCCAGCTCGCCCGGATGTGCCCTGAGCGCACACGACTGTGGTCGATAACGCCGGCCGCTCATAATAGACCCTTTCATTTACTTATTTACTCTGTTCTCTCTCGGGTTTACTCGCAACTTGCTTGCTTGTCTGTTGTTACGATTGTGTACCATAGCCGGATTGCTACTCCCAGCCATTCATCATCCCTATACTTACCCGTCCTGTTCTCCCATCCCATCCCCCTATCTTGCTTGCTTGCCATCGTTCTCGCCATTGACTCGCCCTGATCGTGCCGATTGCCGCATCCCACCGTTTCTCGACGCACTACCCACTACTCCGTGTGCATACTCACAAGACTGCGTTCAACTCAATTGGATACCTCGCCTCTAGCAGTTCCCGTCTCCATCACCTTCACCCCTTTTGCTACCGTCTTCACCACACCTTCAGATACGTTTATGCGTATGCCATGCCACATTCGCCCATTTCACGCGCCGAAAATTTCTACGTATCCGCAAGATGATCATAGGTGAGAGCGTCCATTCTCAGACTGCAGGAGATGTCCGCCCTCCACCGACGCCCGCCCTGCGCACGCCGCGACGCGCGTCCACATCGCCGTCGCCCATCGTTTCCGCTATCTAAGCGCGTCCCTCTCCATCAAGCATCCATCGTGGACTTCAATATCTGCATCATCGGCCAAGCCTGGGACCGGAGAAGGTTCGCGATGGCGTCTGCGGCGCATCCCACGAACAACTTCGAACGCTGGAATCAAGGTTCGCCGTGCGCCCTGGCTGCCTGAGTTAGCCTTTGCTTCTCTTTCTTTCTACACTAGACCCTTATGCGCTAGACCCCGCAGCGGCATCATCATGATGCTATGGCTCTCCAGTATAGGAGGGCTCGGGGCGTTCTAGCTGAATTTGCGTGGATAGACGTGGATCTGTTGACTCCATCTTGCGACTTGGCTGGGTGGGTGTGAGCCGTTTGGGAGACGGGAAGCGCTTCGATGCTCCTCGGCGACGCAAGCTTGCTCCTCCGAAGCCGAGCTTGAGTACGACGTGGCGCGGTGGCGCTTGGTGTACTCATTGGGGGGTACTGTATGGCTCGTTCACTTCGGCCGGGTTGTACTTCGAAGGGTCCTTCGGCGCCGATGCGAGTGCCTCCCGCGCAGGCTTCTGCTACCGCGGAGATTATCGAAGCTTTGGGTTCTGTTGTTTTACCAGACGTGTCGACTCTCAGATTCACGAGCTTCTTGGACTTTGCTCGCTCAAGCGTGTATCTGTATGGTGCGACCGGCGGCTTCACTGTATGTCCATTGATTGTTGAGATTACCTCCGCCGAGCTGACCGAATAGAATCGACCTCGTATCAAACACCTCTTGGAGCGATCCTGCGCCGCCACTCCCTGGACTTCGGCCTTCTCACCTCACTGCGGCAGGCTCGTGCGACCTGCGGCGGACAAGTCGCTGAACGTTGAGGCTATTCGTGGCCTATTCAGACGTCGGTTGTGAGGGACTGAGGTACGACTTACATACTTTCTAGTCAAGCTCAGGCATCGAAGAAGACGTCGAATATCGTACGAACATGCAGACCTTACACTGCGGTCAGAGCCAAGCGCGAAACGCTGGAGCTACCGCATGCGGGGCTATATGCGCGTGATAACCTCGAAAACGGCGGTCGACGTCGGGTGCGCGGACCTAAGTACGAACTCGCTCCAGCGCATACATACACGAAAACGGTCCCGCCGGCAAGCTCGGGAGATTTCCCTTGTGTAATGCTCGCGGAGCGGGGCAGCCTCGGATCGTGGCAGCGCGACGGGGTTCGGATGCGCTGGGAGCTGGGGGTCGGAAGGGGAAGGAGCGCACGCATCCTCGGAGTAGCATCGGTACACAGATGGCTCACGCGCAGGGCGTTGGATTGCGAAGACCCAGTGGCTGGCGCATACAGTCTGCCCCGACGCCGGACGCGTCGCCGAAACCCTTGCCCCGAATCCGCTGAGGCCGAGCGACGCGGTCACGAGAGCGTGTTGCCGGCGGTTGCGCGTCCACGCGAAGCTTGCTCTTGACGCCCACCATCGCGTTGTTGCCCCATATATCTATGTTGTCACCGATGAGCTTGCGTCTGCGCACACGATGTATCACCCGGGAACTCACTACATGTCACATCTGCGACCCGCGCGTTCTTCACACCTACTTGCCAACCTAGCAGCGATTGCTGGGACGTAGTGATCGAGATGATCGTGCTCAGCTGGCAGGCGTATGATGACATCCAGTCATCGATAGAGCTTCTTCTTTACGTGGATGTAAACGTCGTCGAGGCTCGACCGTAGCCATGATCGACGGTTGACGCCCATACTGCACACTAGACGCATTCCTTTGCCTCTCTAGACCGCGTCATAACACGGTACGCAATCTCAGCCGTCATATTTAGGCATTCACAGTCTCACAGTGATCCTAGATTGCTATGATAGAGACGCGAGGATAGCGGTCAGCAGCGTTGTGAAGGACTTCTTTTCCTGAACGATTGGTCGGGGGACATGTGCCGGTTACATACGTTCTGGTAGCATGACTGGGATACGTTCCCCGGTATCTTCGAGAGGCGTGCTAAGGCGTCATTTCTACACGGCGAATGCCTAGCTTTGCAACTTCATCTCTCACTACCGCTCAACGACGGTCACATTCGGCGTGGCTTATGTGCATCTACTCAGCACCCTGCATTACACTCGACGCGCTCATGATGCGAGACTATGTGTTATCCGTACAAGGTACAACTTCAACGATACCACCGCGAAGATGTCCATTCTGGGTTATCGCAGAGGCGTGCGATATCCGGACGACTACTTGCCACCTTTTCCAACTCCAGGTTCTGCATCTTCACAGTGCCCAGCCCCTAGCCGAATCTCTATGCATGCTATTCGCTGATTCTGGCCCGCAGAAACCACTCAGCCCATGCCCGCCAAGCAGAGCAGTAGAGCCCAGCGCTCAGCGTGGGCCGTTCCCTCGCAAATGAATGTCCCTAATGATATATTCGTGATGAGTGGCGCAGGGTACTCTGTCACAGGTCAGATACTGCAACGTTGCCAAGTCTTTCAGGCCGACCGCCGGCGTCGTCCATCTTCAGTGGCGTGGAGATGCCAAGTGAGTTGTTCAGGCTGTTGACAGCCCAAAACACTCCGCCGAAGTGCACAACTCTAATGCTCTACCTGACAGTCCTCGCCTCGCAACAGAAGTGGCGGTATACAGCCCCTACACGACTTGCGGCGTGAAGCAGGCCATCGCAGATCTCCTCGGCGAACCTTCACGAAAGGCTGGTAAGCGGAACTGTCTCCGTTGCGCCAGATGTCTACAAGTGGACATCGCTCTCATGTTACGGACTTACGTCCGCGTTTGTCGGGACACGGTATAGAACCCGCATGTTTGCTTTCCAACATACGCTGGCATCCACCCGGATAACCGACCCACTCTTCCATACCCTGCCATCTCGACGCGTACCTTCGGCCTCCGGCGTACAGCTAGCGAGCCCTACCGGCAAGACGCGAAGATCGCAGCGCCGTGGGTCTCGCCGGCGCACTGTTCGCCAACAACTGTTTGCCGCGGACTCAAGGTTCGAACGTTACGGACAGGTTGCGACGAGGCACGGTAGGGTTCTTTGATGCATTTCGCGCGCGCGAACTTCGGTCTCTTGGATCTTCCAGCCGTCAGGGCTAGGGTAGGCTCGATGTCCGCGGGCCATGTACCAGTCGTTATCGGGCCGCAGTCGAATCGCAGGTCCGAAGAGCTGAGAATGATACCAATGATGGGCGCATTGTGCAGAGCAACTTACACATAGTCATCCCTGTACGCATAGCGATGATGATGAATGGAACAGGCGAATCACAACGACTTGATGGGTGAAGCTTGAAGGCTTCGAGGCTTTGAGACAAGGACAAGGAGGTTGCACCATAGAAAGATGCGTATTACCGTTACAACTCCGTGAGGGAGTGTTCTAAGGCTCCTCGGTTCTTACATCTCGACTTCTCGGTGTGCACTTACTCAAAAGGGTAGACGCAAAGGCCCTTGGCATGCATGGAGTTGAAGCAGGTAGCTCAAATTCTCAGGGCCTCACCCGTACATGTGCAGACCAGGCTATTGGCACTATACTTAATATGATACATGCTGTTGATCACGATTATGGGAAATAAGGAGCCGAAACGCTGACAGTAAGCGAGAAGTAGCTAGAAAGGCAGCACTCAAGCGTAGAGATACATGTAAGCTTCTGGCGCGAGGCATCCGTATGGGCACGTCTCTGGCCCAGAGCTCAAAGCGGGAGAGAAGAGAGGCAAAGAGGCAAACCGACTGCTCAACACGGTCACGAGCAGATCACGAGGGCGCGTTTATCGTTCACACGACTAGGCAGCGCGCGCGTCCGACACGAGTTGCTTCCAACGACCAGCATCGTTTCCGTTCACGACTTGCGATCGCTAGAAGTAATCGTGTGAAATCAAGCGTACATCTTGTATCTTCAACGTCTGACAGCAACAAACTCAAGCCCACGTCCAAGCCCAAGCTCAAGCCCATCAAATAGCATTTCATGTCCAGCCGTGGTCGTGGTATTCGCGGTGGAGGACCGCCAGGGTCCTCTCACCACTATCAACCGTATCCTTCACCATCAGAGCCTGGCTCTAGGGGACGAGGTGGAGGGCCTCCGCGTGGAGGTCGGGGTAGAGGTGGTGGCCCCCCTCCCCAGCCGGATCTCGCCCCAGGTGAACGAAGAGCAATGCTGGTACGAACAAACGTCTTCGCCATCAGAAAACTGCCCAGAGAGCGGTTCTTTCAATATACCGGTATGTCTACAGGCTGATCTCTATGTCCAAGTATCATTTCTGACCAGGAGAATACAGTCTGTGAGTGTCGATTCAGAAGTGAGATGATATATTGCGCATGTTAAGACTGGACATCATAGCCATCGCACCCGAACCAAGAACGCGTGGTATGAAGCGCGTCATCATCGATAAACTTGAGGCTACCTATGCAACCGTCTCCCAACGCAGAGGTGTCTACGACGGCGAAAACCTCTTCTATTCACAGCATCCAGAGCTAGCAGCGCAGGCCAGTCTGATTTTCACGGTCGATAGCATGATGTCTCCCACTGACTTGTTGACTTGTAGTATCCCGTCACACTGCCTAGCCGTCGACAAGGCCAGCCTGATCCAAGATTTCATGTCACATTGGCACGCACAGCGTCCGATATCATACAACCTCTCCGGCCGGTCGTTTCGCTTTAGTACCAGATTCCACTCTGACATTATTTACAGCCAGGACGAGATCACTGGGAACGCGACTCTGGACCCAGTTTCCGTCAACCTTCTTCAATTATTGTCTCAGGAGGGAGCGCGAAGGTTCATTGCTAGCTCTGTACTATTCATGACGAAACGCTGACATCGTGGGCCTAGAAAATCCGCGTATTGGAACGCTAGGCGATCAGTCTTTTTTGACGGTTCTAGGACCGCGCAGTTAGGCGGTGGAGTCGTGCTCTGGCACGGGTTTCTTCAGTGCGTCGCCCGCGATGAGCATCACGAATTCTGCTGCTCATCGTCACACATCCCAGGAGTGTCAAAGCTGTTCAAGGGAATCTCGTCATCAATGTGGACGTCGCGTCGACTCTAATGTACGTTCAACTCTTTGATCGCGATCTTCTCCGAACCTAAGCCGTGTAGGTGGACACCAGATCCCCTCTTGACCGTCGTGGGGAGGTTGCTTGAGGACGCAGGTTTCAGGCATCCGTTAGGGGAGTTTCACGAACAACACCCTCGATGGGGTATCATTGGTCGCACCATCAAGAACCTCCGAATCGAGTACACTAGCATGGGCGGTGTTGTCAAGCAGCGTCGTATCAGAGGTATACTACCACGTGCATGTACCTTCGTCTTTACCCCGAAGAACGGTCCCCCAATGACGGTTGGAGTACGTTGACTTGCCTGAATCCAACTATAACATGAAGGCATTCTAACCCGCGATTCCTTCATAGCAATACTGGCAGAGCATCATACAGCGTCCTTTGGATGACGCTCTCATGGGTGTTTACTTAGATGAAGAGAAGAAGATCGTCGTCCCTGCAGAGCTCTGTCAACTCACTCCCGGACAGCGCTACATACGTCCGCTGACCGGAGCTCAACAAACGGCTGCTCTGCGCGACATGACTCAGATCCCGTCAGTACGTTGGGATAACATTGCGCAAGGGATGAGAGTGAGTCGCCAACATGTGCTCGATCAAAGGAGCCAATCTGACATGTACACCAGTTCTTCGATCATGGCAACTCTCAGTATCTCATCCATGCTGATATGCAAGTGTCTGACCGACATATCGTGGCGAACGGTCTGCAAGTTGGACCCCCAAGAATCAGCTACGCTGCTGGCCCTCCCGTGAACAATGCTGACGGCACTACAACACTGCCTAAGCTTCATGTCAACGTGGTGCGCATTCTCTTCCTTACTACGCGATGTGCCGTGTGATGAAGCAAGCATGCCAGTCGCGGGGAGGGTGGGAGATGCCTCGCGAGGGCAAGTTCTATCTACCTAAACTCATCACGCACTGGGCGGCGTATGATCTCACTCAAAATGGCGATCTTAATAAGATGACGAGGTTTCTGGAAGTTTTGTGGAGGTGCTGTGGCGAGAAGGGTACGTGCCAGCCTACTCAGCTCTCGAATCGCGGCATGTCCTGACACTTTGATATATAGCCATGGGTATGCACATCACTCCACTCTACCACTCGGTCTCATGAAGTCGTAGGCGTGCCCGAGGCACCGGCCCAACTTTTCAACATGGCTGCCGGGTTCCAAGCTCATGTGCGTATTTGGCTTCTACGAATGTCCTCCCGTCTATCTGTTTGAGAGTTGACTTTTTCGCACAGCGGGTGGACGGTTTGAGTGTCCCACCTGAGGGATGGAATCCTAAAGATCCCTACCGACCGTTGTTGATCTTCTTCCTATCGACTGCTGGCGCATCGGAGATCCGTAGAACGATCAAGTACTGGGGCGAAGTCCTTCGGGGCGTTCCTACCCAATGTATCGTGAGTTGCAAGAGCCTACATCTCCTTGTACTCTTGTGCTGATCCTGTATCGCAGATGATAGATAAGCTGTCGGCGTCTCCGTTGTTTGGAAACAACATTGCCATGAAGTACGTCCATCCTATGCAACCAGATCAGTCTTGCATAACTGATGTCTATGTCTATTCAGACTCAATGCTAAGCTCGGCGGTATCAATTGCGTCGCTGGTCATCCTCGTCTTGACGCGCTTAAGGGAAACACCATGATCATAGGTACATCTCTCCTTCAGCGCTTTCGCGACATGCCGTGACGAAGTCATCCCAAAAGGTGCCGACGTGACGCACCCCTCCCCGGGAATCTTGAATAGGCCCTCGTTCCCGGCTGTTGTCGGGTCTATCGACGATACATTCACCCAGTATGCAGCTTGTATGGACGTTCAAGCACCTAGGATGGACATGATCGAGAATCTTGGCCCTTTGGTCTTAGTGAGTTGCGCCGAGCGTCTCGCGATATCATCTCAAGCTCACCTCTGTCCAAAGTACTTGGTCAAGCAATGGACTCTGAAACATCACGGGCACCTTCCTGAGCACGTCATATATTTCCGAGATGGTATCTCCGAGGGAGAGTACGACGGGGCAGGTCGATATGAACGCGACCAGATCCAGAGCAAGTAGCTTTCGCCGCGTTGCCAAGCTCGTACCTTCTCTAACAGCCGCGCAGAAGCATGGGATCGGGCGATACAAGAGATCCTAGACCTTGTTCGCAAGGACCCTAAGCAAGCTAAGGTGATGCAGAACCCAACCGGCCGCAAGTTGAACCTCACGTTCATCGTTGTGGAGAAGCGGTAAGATAGTCGCGCCTACCCGTATGCTTAGTCTTATGTCATCGGGCGTTCACAGCCATCATATTCGTTACTCGCCGGACGGACCTCTGTGAGTATCTCCATTTCCACTCACGGATACCCTGTACGGTTATCTGAACGCACTCTTGGTAGCGGGAAGCAGAACGTCCCGGCCGGGACCATTGTTACCGAGGCGATCGCGACACGCGCGTACGAGAACTTCTACATCGTATCGCAAGGGGGATTGCTGGGCAGTACGTCTATCCTCGGTAACATCGTATCAGGTACTCAAATCTTTCTTTCTAGCCTCCCGGCCCGCACACTGCGTGGTTTTGGAGCGGGATCCTGTTCTATCCTTCGAGATGTAGGTCTGTTAGCCCAAGAAGCAGAGCACATCTAACTCGTCTGAAGGTGCCAAGACCTCGTTTACTTCTTAAGCCATGTTTGCGTGCGAACCACCAAGTCTGCCTCATTACCTGCGCCAGTATACTGTGAGTCTCAATCATGAGTCGATGACGACGCGTTGCTGATATCACGCTTTGTAGTTGCCGATGTAAGCTCGAAGAGATCTTCCCCAGACGGGATGATCATTACTAACATCGCTTTGTAGCTCTTGTGCGCCGAGGCCTTGAACTATATCAACCCTGGCCACCCGATATTCAACGACGATAACCTCACTGTCGCCAGTGGAAACGACTTCGTAATCAATCTCGACGGATGGAAGGCTGCGATGGCGTTTGAAAAGCGCGGTACATGGACACCTGGCCCGGACTTCGTCCACCCGAATTCCCGCGGGAAACTCTTCTTCCTATAGAACGCATCGCATAATATGACTCCTGCTTTGAACATCAATAGGTTCTTGTGGGTCTGCAATTATTGCTCTACTGCCTCTCTTGTACTACATAATTCCTCATATTGTTCAATCTTGATAATCGTTATCTGTCCACGTCGGAGTACAGAAAGATATTTAGACAAGTTCAGAAGATCGAGTGGACGAGAATAATTTGCATCTAAGAATAGAACCGAGTTCCGTACATTCATGTCGTAGTCGTATCTTGTACAGCAGCAGACATGAAGTCCTGATCGTGAAGACTCCGATGCAAAACGGAGGTGACTAGAAGTAGCGCTCGCGCGCACCATGTATAAAGAGATCCGCATTGCCCCTGTCCAGATCTTCGTCGAACTCCCTCTCCATGGGATGATCAGAGTCTATCAACTATTAAATGGTCTGACTATCTCACGCTCGATGTCAGTACTCACCATCCATACGTAACATCTTAGACTGCTGCCATTGCATCTGATCCTGGTGCATCCGCTCACAACGCTCAGCGTCCAATAACCTCCGTTCTCTCAGCAGCGGACACGCCGCTTTATGCTTGTTCTTCTTCCAATCGGCCGCTTGACACTGTGATTAGGAGTGATCCATGAGCCGCTGTTACTATGATACCAGGGCCAAAAGATACTCACCCGCTGAGAACAATAGAAACGGGCTTTGCATCCAGAGCACCTCAGAAATGCTGGACTATTCATCGTCTCCCACTTGAAGCAGTGCGTGCAGCAATGCAGAATTTCAGTCTCTGACAGCAGGACCTCCATCTCGACGATGGATTCTGCTCCACGACTACCGAATGTGCGGCCAGTGCGCCTGACGATCGGCATCGGCGCGTCTCCATCAGTCCGAGTGACCCGGGCGTCCAATAGAGCGCTCAAGAGTTTGGGCTCCAAAGGCGAGAACAGAGCAAAGCGAGGATGACCTTCTGGCGAGTCCGCTGGAAAAGGATCGGAAGGTGGGAGCGTATTCAGAGGGAGAGCTTCGCGCATCATGCGCATTCCGCGTGGCCTGGTGAAAACCAAGAACCATGTAGGCCCCTTACGACCCAAGTTGACGGGCCAGGGCCTCAAAGGTGTATCGAAATCTAAAGCTTTGCATGCAAGAGGGGGTTTTTCCGCTGCGCTCATGATGGTTATGAGATAACAGGAGGGAGTAGAGACGAGGCGATGGTTTCATTAGTATTAGCGAAGCACTGGCGCGTGGTCTCGTTCTTGCCCTAAAGCTCGGCGATGGGCGGATAGCACTATCGCGCATTTGAACCATAGCCTATTGCGGTCTTGACGATCGACGACACCGGGTGAGGACGTCAAACATGATGACAGAAGACAAGATGCATGATGCCACCACCAAGCCCGCCACAACTCAGCGTGGTCGGACTTGTCGCGTGGCTAAGTCCGAGCGGTCGTCTCCGAAGCGCGCCGCGACGTGCCGACAGCTCCGAGCTTGCCTTCCGCCGTCTACATGTCTTCCTCCACCCTCCTGCGTGCAGCCTCCGCTGCGACCCGTGCCTCCTCTAGCAGGCAATGTGTGTAACTCTAATTTTCTTTGAATAGTGCTCAGATAACGCTGACATCTCTGTATCACTCTTCAGGGCTGCACTCATCCGCTGCGCGGAGCGCCATCACCAACTTCCAAATGCCGGCTATGTCGCCCACAATGACCGAGGGAGGTATCGCGTCGTGGAAGTTGAAGGAGGGTGACAAGTTTGCGGCCGGGGATGTTCTGCTCGAAATTGTGCGTCACCGGACACCTCCATGGCGTACTTGCGACTGACGTGTGAATTATCTTCCTCGTGTAGGAGACGGACAAGGCCACGATTGATGTCGAGGCGCAGGATGACGGTGTATTGGGCAAGATCATTGTGCGTCGCGCCCCCAACTCATCCATATCCGTGACCCGAACAGTCCTTAATCGCAAGATTTAGCTTCAAGACGGCGCAAAGAACATCCCAGTCGGGAAGGTCATCGCGCTCCTTGCCGAGGAGGGAGACGACATTTCCAATTTGGAGGCACCGAAGGACGAGTCTAGTTCGGCACCGGAGTCCAGCTCGAAACAGGCAGACGCGCCGTCAACTTCGCAGCCCGCGCCACCTGAGAAGCCTGCGACGGAGGCTGGCCAGAAATCCGACGTCAAACATCATGCCGACCTCTCGCAGTTCCCGCGCATATTCCCGTCTGTTGCACGGCTATTGTCGGAGTTCGACTTCCCGCTTGACAAGGTCAAGGGTACTGGTCTGCGTGGGATGATCACGAAGGGCGACGTCCTTGCGTATCTCGGCAAGGCGTCTAGTCCGACAGGAACATTCAAGCAGGAGAAGGCTGCAGCACCGGAGCCGACAGTCCCGAAGAAGAAGGATCAGGAAGTCGTCAAGGTAAACCACACCCCTGCTCCATACACGCAATATTTTCTGACTTCTTGAAATAGCCTCTCGACGGCCCAGCTCTGCGTCGCGCCATCATGCAGGGCATGTACCAAAAGTCGGTCAAGGTGCGCAACGCCTCAGCACCTACTCTTGCGGCAGACTTCGACTCCATCATCGCCGACTACCTCCCGCCCAAGCCCACTCAACCCTCCTCGACATCCGCCACCACTAGCCCCGTACCTCCGCCCAAAGCTCCGGCGGATATTCTAGACGCGCTGCTTTGATCTTATTGGGCTACTAGTAGATTTGCGTATATTCATGGGCTAATGCATCCCACCGTCTCAAGATAAATATTTCGGCATCTAGAAGCCGTCCTCCATCGGCAAGCACTGCATAGAGAGCGATCAACGTGGGACTCAACCCGAACAACGTATAGACCCACCAAGAAGTCTATATATCCTTGCATGGCCCCTTGCTTTGTTCTTGTTGGGTGTTCCATGAGGAATTGCAGACTGAGAATGCCCTCATTGTCAATGCGAAGCGACGACTTGTCCGAGGTCTGCAGCGCTGCCAAAGCCCCCCTGATGTGCGAAAAGCGGTAGCTGAAGCTGACCGAATCCTCGCACTCGAAGGTCTCGAGCACTTCGCGGTCGTTCGTGTAGTCCATCTATGCTTTCATCAGTCCAAGCCGGGTGCTGATGACGTGACCGTACCTCCGTACTCCCAAGTGAACCTGACGCCATGATACGAAAGATAGGTTTTGATGAAACCCGCGACGGACGAGCGTCTCCTGTCGCTGGTGTACCAAGCGGATTGCCCACAAAGGTTAGCTTGTCGTACTCTTTTGGGTCAAGATCTGATAGCGCCTCGCGTAGCCACGATGACTAGTCAGCATCAGCGACGAGGTAGCTGTCAAGAAGTACAGACGCCTGACCTTCAGGATGATCTTCAGCTGCCTGAGGCGTGAGCTGCGTCAGCTTGCTCATTCCTTTCTTCTAGACAGAAGACGTACGTCTGCTCATAGTTAAGCGCAATATCGAGCATTCCTTCAGGTTCGAAGGTGCTAATCTCGCATCGAGCACTGGGCCCGTTGCCTGATGTTTCTGCACTATACTGCGGGTCAGTATGCTTGCCAGGACTGGTCTACGCTGAGCCACGACATACATGCTGATGGTGAGAGGGTGACCTTCTCCCGCGTAGTACATGCTCATTCCCGTGCGCTTCGCTCCACCACCAAAATACGCATCCAATCTTCCCGCCTGATCATTTAGATCATCATCGTCTCCTGTCGGCCGCACACCGCGTTTCTTCGTACTTGACGCGGTGTTGTTTCCAGTGAAGACGCTCAGGCAGTCGAGCAGTGAGTGAAGAGGTATCTCGAGCACTGTTGTCAGGTCTGATTGTGATCGGCTCGGGGTTGATCGTAATGAGACGGAGGAACGTGCGGAAGCGGAGGGTTCGGGTCGGGGAGGGGTGTAGGAGTAGTCATCGAAGACATCTTTGAAGATCCATGCAGTCGCTATATTTATCATCATGTAAGCATATACTGATTCCGTGTGCGCTGGGATAAGTCTCACCTGTCACAGAACGAGCTTCCTCAACCGTGATGATCAGACCAGTACTCGTGATCGTCATTGAAGCGAGTTTGGACTGTGGATCAGGATATGATTGGGGCGGCTGCACACTAAGGTATATTTTGAGCTCACAGATGCAAAGTTGATCCCCTTGAGTAAGGAGAGAAAATATCGGATGTCGTTGGTTTGCAGAGACAAGACCTGCTCTAGCATGAACGTCTATATCGCGTAGAGGCGCGGCGACCCACGTTGTGAGGAGCTTCCTCTTCCTCCATATCCTCTTCTTGGTGCGATTGAGTGTGTTGAGAGGACATAATGGCCGATCAGGGCAGTTGACCGGGACGCTTAGGTGAGGGCAGGAAGAAAGACGCGTCGACGCGTCTAAGCGCGCTGATCACATGGGCGCGTTAGCCCTCGGACCGATATCTCCGCTGGCCTGCTTGGCCTAGTCCGACGGTCACTGTCGTGACTCTTACCTCTACGTGCTCCTACCATGTTCCCAACAGATCTATCTTGCGTCTCTGAATGCTACACGTACAGCTCAACTACACAACGCCTGCCTACCCGTCCTTGTGCTATGTGTCGAGTCTGTGGCAATTGCGACCGATCCCCATCGCGCAGCACTGCTTTGAGCCGCTGCGCATCTTTGATTTTTTTGAACCAATGCAAACTATGGGACTTCATCCACAGGTGTTCAAGCGCTATGGAATGACCTCTCAGAGCCCAGCTCGCCCGGATACGGTGACCGTCTAGCACGCGTGATGCTCCGTGCGTACTGCGTTGCGGCCTGCAAATACCTTTCGTGGAGGGCGCCCAGGTCCTCCGCTAAGCGCAGGATCGTCAACTTTGCTGTTCTACTGCTGTGCACGACCTGCTCGGTAGCACAATGCACACATCAAAGCCTTCTGTTCCGCACGGGTGTCGTGATGAGCCACCCGCGACTGCCTAGTATAAGAAGCTACCGAGTTGTGTCGGCCACTCTTCATCTTCGGATCCCCACACTTCTAAGGCCTGGTGCCCTCTTGCTTTATTTCCTCTTGTCTCTTCTCAACCAGGCTTTCTTCGTTCATTCTTCCACGCACCTGCTCGATACGAACCTTCCGCCGACCTTCACGTTCCGAAAATGAACACTTTCACTACGCTCACTCTCGTCGCGGCTCTTGCGGTATCGAATGTCGCTGCGTTCACGATCAACTTCAAGAACAACTGTGATGAACGTACGCCCATCCTTGCCTGTGCAATGTATCGGAGTGCTTACTTCTCATGTAGCTGTTTGGGCGGCAGTCGGTAGGAAGCGGCGCTATGGGTTGACAAGTGACCACGACTGATCATGTATCCAGGTGCTGCACCGAACGGCGTCCCGAATCCCTCCATCGCATATGGGAAGGAGCTTGCCCCGGGCGCATCCTCAAGCTATGGCGTCTCAGATACCGCTCTTGTGAGTAACACTGCCATCGTTCTCTACGTCGCTGACGATCCGCCAGGGCATTCGCGCATGGGGCCGCACCGGCTGCGACGCGAACGGCGCGAACTGTGCGACAGGCAACTGTAACGGCGGGCTCGTCTGCACCGACGGAGGCATCACCGTCGGCGTGATCCTCTCCGAATACGGATACGGCGACTTCGGCGCCAACTTCGGAGGCCAGCGTACCGCTTGGGACTTATCGCACGTCGACTCGAGCATCAATCTCGACACGCAGCTTACCGACGGCGCTGGGCAAACTGTGACGTGTACGCTTGCGAATTGCCCTGCTGACCAGGCCTACGACTCGGCGACGGACTATGCGGCGGATCGCAACTCGGCGCTCGGGGCGTCGTTCACTCACACGTTCTGCCCTTGAGCTCGGGGCGTCTACTTCTATGTAGTTCATTTTTGTACTGGGTTTTCGCGTGTATCATTTCACTTGGATGTAATTCATTTCATGATATGTGTGAGGCGCGACGATAGTCACGCCTACTAGATTGGAGGATAGATATGCAAAGTATACAACAAGTTGATCGGCTCGAGCCCGGTACAGTGCACGGAGAATACTGCAGGATCCGGAAGACGTCGAGCTAAACGTGCGCGATGAGACGAGGGAGAGCTTGATCAGAGGCGAGGCGATGGGATATTGGGGAGATGGTACAGATGACTGATCATTCCTTCGTACATCGCCGGCGCTGTCTCCACGAGTTCAAGACACTCCTCCTTCCCGGAAGTCTTGACATTCTCCCGGCACTCTTGCAAGTTGCTCTTATACTGCGCAAGGGAGTGCACGTAGCCAATTGAGAACGGCGAGGGGGGTACGACGTGCACGACGAAGTGAGTGCCCGGGTGAAGCTGGAGAAGTATGACCATTGAGGCCCATAGCCCGTGTTGCGGCTTTGATCGAAGGACGTGTACCCTGCGTAGACGCGGCGTATGGATAGGAACGCAGAGAGCGAGCCCGTTGACATTATCGACCGTGATGCGAAAGAGCTCGAGCGCAGGGAATTTAGACTGGTTCAGGTAGTCGAACCAGTCTCGCGGTCGGAAAGGGTGTAGTCCGCCTAGGGTGATCTCGCGAAGTTGGGTGAAAGGGAAGACATACAACGCCTTATAGTTCGCGTAATTGATAGTGAAGACGTCCAGGTGCAGAACCTCGAGTACGCCGTGAACTTTGCCCAGTATGGTCGTAAGTTGGCTCGTTACGGTCTCGTCCCAGCTTCCTCTCGCTTGGTCCACGTTGTAGAGTCTCTGAAAGCCTGCGCCCGTGTCGAAGTCGCAGCGGGGTGTCGCTTGGATTGCGAGCACGCGGGGTAGTTCCTGGACTCGAAGGTCATCCAGGATACGGGCCAGCGAGGCGATCTGCCTGTCAGTCGGCCCAACCCTCAGGAAGTGATGCTTGTAGGGCGTGCTCGCCGAACGTAGATAACGACACGTCGCTGAGAGCGCGCGAGCTGTATCGCCGCCGTCCATGCACGCGAGAGGTATGATCTGGTTCCATAGCTCGAGAGGAAACTGGCTCATAGTGCCGGTGCCGGCAGCCGGTCAAGGTGTAGTGTGCGTATGTGCAGGTAGTGAGGGTGTAGCGATGGGCGGTTCTTGAGGTATAGAAGTCCGAATGGTAGAAGGTGTTCGTTCAAGAGAAGATGCGAAACTATACTCGCGAGCCGTCCATCCTGTACGAATGTCTGACAAGGAGAATCATGCCGATGCTGTTAGACACCCATTGGCCTTTCGCGGCCAAAACATCCGTACATATTCGCCTCTTTACCGACATATCCATCACCGCCCATACCCGCTTATCATCTTCGGAAGGTGCACGGAAAGTGCGAGAAACAGCACGGGGTTTCATAAAGCGTATACAGCTGTAAGCTGATGCACAGCCAAGCGCGTCATGATGGTGGTCCGATGCAGAGCCGCACCCTCGCGTCGCGGGCGCGCGTCACTCGCGCCGCTTGCCTCTCACCACAACCTGCCTTCCTTCCTGAGCGCACAATGCCTCTAGATATTGTCAATCTAACTTCCCAACCCATTACCTTCGAAGTAAAGAAGAAAGCAGGACGCGGACAGAGGATAGTCATTCCCGCACATGGCAGAGTCGAAGTCAAGAAGCCGAAACACGGCTTCTCACTCGTTCCCTGGGACCTAAACAATGCAGCGCTTGAGAAGAAGCCTTCAAGTGAAAACTCTGCATTGCTCGGCTCGGCATCCCATACTTTTAGTTTGAGGCGACCGCTCAGTTTCGGTGCTGCAATCCAGATGCTGACTGGCTCAGATGCTTCCCCGTGGCTGGTGTACAAGTGCAAGGTGCGCATGACTGTACACAACACCGCAGCTTATTCTAACGTATGGTCTCTAGGTCGAGAACCGCAGAACAATACATATCGTCAAGGAGCGAGATATGCGCTCATATCTCTCTGATTTACCGGACGCGACCTCCTTGACTGACCTCTGCCTACCTGGCACGCATGATACGTACGCTTGAATGCCGGCCTATAACATTCATCCGGTCTGATGCTCCCCTTAGTATGGCATTCTACGGCTGGCCAATTAGTCAATGCCAAGCGTCGGACACGCCGCTACCTGTACAACTTCAGCAAGGCATACGTATACTGGACATACGACTGGCCGTGATCAAAGGTCGCCTAATCGCATACCACGGCGCATACCCTCAGCGAACTACCTTCGCTTCGATTCTTGCCACTTTATCGACATTCTTGCACTCGGCTGCGAGCCGTCGAGAGACGCTCATTGTCAGTATCAAACAAGAGGACCGCGGTGGCGACTTCTCGCGCTTGGTACGCGAAGAGATCGAACACGGGCCTGGCGGGATGGGCATGTGGTGGCTCGAAAACAGGATTCCAGCTCTCGGCGAAGTGCGCGGCAAGGCTATCCTCTTCAGTCGTTTCGGCGGCAACGGTGCGGATTGGCCGGGCGGTCTCGAGGGCATGGGCATCCATCCTACCACATGGCCGGATAGCGCGAAGGAAGGCTTCGAGTGGTGGTGCAAAGACACCATGGTACGAACACAGGACTGGTATGCGAACTCTATCATTCATCATGTACGCTTCTTGATCTCTTTACAGGTATAGCATCCCGAGCTTCCTGGACATACCTGAGAAAACCGCCCTCGCGGTTGAAGTTCTGAAGCCGCCACAACAAGCGCCGATGCCCGTTCTCTCGATCTCATTTTTCTCCGCTGCTTCACCGCTTGCTGTACCACCTCTTGTGGCGACAGGATGGGGATGGCCGAGCATTGGTCTCGGCGTGGAAGGCGTCAACTCACGTATCTCGCGATTCTTGCTGCGCCAACTCGGGATGGCTGCAAGAAGAGTTGCGCCCGACGAAGAGCCGAAGGCGCCGACGGACGAACCTCTTATACGTGGTTGGACGTTCATCGACTTTTACCGGCTTCCTTCCGGCTCAGCTATTGTTCCTCTTTTAGTGGAATGTAACTTTATTGGACGTTGAACAAGTCTCATTTATCGTACATTATCATCCCACGCGGATTCACTCATCACGGATGTATACATACTTATATCCTAGCCTATACGCGGTCATTCATATAATACAATGCCTATACACGATGCTATCGTATGATACAGGGAAATTAACATAGGTTGCAGGCGTGCGTTAGATGCCCAGCGGATTCTACAATTAACCCGTCGTCTGCGGGCGCGTTATTATCTCAGTCTGTTGAATCGGCATTATGCGTCCGCTCGCCGACAAACGCGGACTTCTAGTCAAGTTGAGTCAGATCGATGGTTAACCCGCCGCACCGAAAGAAACCTACGAACCTCATTCAAGAAAGTCCTCAGGCCGTCGTAACCTGGATCCCACGCTGGTCGAAGCAGATATCGACAGTCTGATTACCCGCCCTACCGTGCAGATCGAAGGCGCCGACCGGCTCGGAGAGCTTGACCTTTAGTGCCTCGAAGACGGACGCGTTCTCTTTCCGCTCGGGGTCCAGACGAGATTGAACCTCGCGCGCTAAGGTGCGGATAGCCTCCGCGGCATTCACCCCATGATCACTGGTGTCGTCGACGTGGTTCGAGAGTTCCATCGACGTAGTGGGCCGGAATTCGAGGTGGGAGAAGATGGTTACAAGCGCCGGAAGTCGTTCTTGTAAAACTAGCTTCTGAAGGCTGAGTAGACGTACAGACTCTCGGGGTTTCGCGTGTCGATCAGGCGCCATTGAGGGAAGACGACGCGCACAGTCCGAGAGAGCCAAATCGCGCAGACGAGAGAGGGGCTTGAGCATTTCGAGAAGGTCGTCCATACCGGTGAAGGTGCGCGATAGCTCGAGCTTGGTGAGTGACGGCGGAAGACGCGGCCGAACCGTGCAGAGTAATCCGGTCACCGCCAGGTCCTCCAGCGCAGGGAAGAGATCCGCGCCACGGGTCCAGAAAAGCTTCTCATTTACGTGCAAAGTCCTTTGAACTTGCCCGTAACGATGGTCCGTGTTGTCCTCTGGCTTCATGTTGGATTCCACGTAGATATGCAACTGTTGCAGGGCTGGTGTCGTTCGAGTCGACAGCTCTTGGAGAGATTCGGCCAAGAGCTCGACTCTCTCGACGTTGGAGAGTCCTGTGAATCCTGGTATAGGTGACATGGGGAAGTCGGCTATCGTGGATATTTGCGCGAACATCGTAAGCGTCCTCGCCTTCGGCAATTCGTCGAGTGCAAGCTTTACAGCGTCCGGGATGGGGAAGTCGGACGTGTGCTCAAATGGCGCCCAGTCGCCGGCGTCGGTGTAGACAAAATGCGCCGACTCGTTCTCCTGGAGTCCCGCCAAACAGTTCCGGGTCAATTTGGGGTGAAGCATAGTAACGTCCACGCCGCGGAGAGCGCGCACGAGATCCCGCAAGCGCTTGCACACTTGAGGGAGAGTGTTGAAAGGTGCTATGGGCGAGGCGATGTATTGAGGAAGGTATCGTCTACCCTTGCGCTCCCGTTTCGCGAAGTAGTCATCGAAGAGAAGCCCGAGTATTCTGAACCAGATCTCAGTGGGTAGCATGTCGATTGCGAGGTTCTTCTTGGGATCTTTCCGGGGTTGTTGGTCAGACATGGCGATCGTGACTACCACATTTACTGCGCGTCCCCTTATATAACAGCCACCATAGCAGTGCGGCCGGATCCAGGTAACCCAGTCCTCCTCTCGGCGCGGCCCAAGGTCTACTAGTCTTGAATATCTGTCCAAAAGTGTCACATTTATGGTTCCGCGCGCAACTTTGGCGGCCATATAGACGAAAGTTTAAATTGCACAGACAAAGAAATCGCCCACGGCCAGTGACACCATCCTACAGCACGTTGCATACCATTCAGTCTTTTCCTGCGGTATCATTCAGATAGGTGACGACTACATGGACGTTCATGACAAGAGGTGATGCATGCTGGCTGCAAACGCGCGTCGCGACTTGTCCTCAAACTTCCATGATCGCACACGCATGCGTCCATACTTCCATCTCCTTCCTTGTATTCATACAACGCACCAACTTTGACGTCAATTGTTATCGCTGCACTATGTGTCATGTGCTTCCCTGTGGTTGACAGCTACCAAAGAGGTTCGGCTAATTCACGTTTCACCAGGCCGCCCAAGTGAACAATGCTGCTCTATCACGGGCGCGGGCGCGGGCGTCGGACTTGTGGTAAACCACGCTGTGGACTAGCCCACAACCATATACGATGTGTGAAGCTTATGCTTCGTGTGGCTCATCTACTACCCAGTATAAAGATGGCAGGCTATAGCATTTTATTGCCCGGCAACCCACTCGCCATGTCTACACCTAACGAACCCACCGCGTTGATCCTCGACCTGCCACCGGAGCTCTTCCTTCACATTTTCAACTTCCTCTACGATGATTGGTTTCTTGACAACCTCCTCAGCCCATCTGGCCTACGTCATCTAGCTTATCGGCACGAGCTGCCGGATACGCCGTGGAAGCAATTGGCTCTTGTCTGCAAACATCTACGCGCGCTCGTACTCAGTCACCGCGCCTTCGTCACCACACTTCATCCCGCCAAGACGGCCCGTGCTCTGGAGCAGCGCATCGCAAATGCACCGATCCACATCTTGCATACCGACATTTGGGCCTGGGCCGTCAACCAGACCGCCGAACCTGGACATGCGCAAGACGTGACTGGCGCCACCGAGCGCGCGCTCAGCGAGCTTGATCAAGCTAGGACCTTCAGACTGGACTCGGAGATCATGTCGGCGGATCAACTGAAGTTGGACCTCCTTCAACGAGCATTCCAGGCGTTGTCTACGACACGCGCGGCCAACCTTCAGGAGATGGTTCTCCGGTCTACCCGAGCGCCCGACGTTGCCGAGGCAGTAGTGCTTGCAAGCGCCGCTCAATTGTGGGGAGCCGGCCCGGACTCGTTTCCTCAGCTGGAGCGCATCGAGTTGCACAATATCCCGTACACCTCGCACTCGTCAACCTTCCCTCCGCCTTGCCTCACATCCCTCGAGCTGTCGGCGTGCGCTATCCCCACGGGGATTGACGGTCTCATCTATATCCTCAACCGCCTCCCTCGACTGCGCACGCTCGATCTATCGCGCCTCTCGCAATTCTCGCCATCCATTGCCTTCGAGAAACGCGGATTGCGAAGCGTCCCTTTGCCGATGTTGCAGCGCCTACGTCTACAAGACTTCATCCCCGCAATCGAGAACATCCTGTATCACCTGGACTTCCCGATCACCACCAAAGTCAAGTTCGTCAGCATCCCCAGCATGGGCAATGAACAGGTCGACGGCACGGAGTTGTTGTTTGGTAACATTGCCCGGGATATACACTCGAGATGGGGTGGTGCGATCGTGGTGGATACTGTCGAGCTGTCCGTTCGACGCCACTGGCCCCAGATCAAGATGGACGTCAAGGTGGCCGGACAGAAGAAGCTGAGCGTGGACTTCGATTGGTCGGACGGCAGGTGTGACGGGATGGGCGTCTTTATCTCCGAGCTTGGCGTACTCCGGAGCACTAGCAACTTGACCATCGGTCCTGCGATGAGCAATGGACTGACGTTCCAGGGCTACGACCGCGCCCCCCAGATACGCCGAGTACTTCAATGCTTCCCGAACGTCGTCGTGCTCAAAGTGCAGGGGAACATCGCTCACCTGATATGCGACAATCTCCAGCCGACATGCGACCATCCCCAAGAGCCGGTGTACAACCTCATGCCTAGCATGCGGGAGCTTACCATCAGCGACATCACTGCCTACGACGAGCTCACGGCGTGCTACTGCTGGCAACGGGAAGGGCTCAAGCTCACGTTCATTGCATGCCCAGGTCTAGTGAACGTTCCTTGGCAGATCCTCATTGGCGTGGTAAGAGGACAAATCGACGTGGACTTTAGCAAAGTTGAGGAGCAGTCTGAGTTGCAAGCCACCATCGAAGGACTCACGGAGGAAGAACAACCTCACGACGAGGACGACGATTGGGCACCGGACGGTAATAACTCGGGTTATGAGATGGAGGATTACGAGATGGAGGATGACGAGATGGAGGACGACGAGATGGAGGATGATGGAATGGAAGATGCTTGAGTGGCTTTTGTGGATTGGAAGGACTTGTACTATACACCTACGCTGTCTTCTCCATGCGTAACGGGACGTTGTAATTGTAGTGCATCGATGTACAATTATCAATCGTGGTTATTCAGAAAGCTGTTTACTTGTGTGGGCTTCAGTTCAACTTCAGTTGCTCAATTGTGGCCCGTTTATTCGAACGATCGACAGCCTCATGTCTCCAGTACGCCTCTTTTCTGTGCCTACACGCTCTACTTCAAACAGGAATTGCATGATACGATGGAAATGGGGCCCTCTCATGCTTGCGAGAGAGTTGTAGGTCCGTATGGGCTGAGTGTGGCCCGCTCGGCCCGTTTGATCCGAGCCGCGTCGCCGCTCGCGCGTACAGTCGGCACGCGCGAACTCCAGTGACCCCACCATGCACCGCACTCATAAGCACCGAGTAACCATGTCTCTACGCTTGCTTCCTGCACCCATCTACTCTCGACGACTAGGAGGATGCCGCTAGCATCGTCCGGAACCTGGGCGTCACTGGGACGCCAGGTGGCCGCGGGCGTGCGGAATGCTCCGCACGCTCGTGGGCTACATGTCCCGGGACGAGCCCCGTTACCATCTACAGCACAACAAATATTCCAAACCACCAAGGGTCTCGCGCAGAACCTTTTCGGACATCTTACTACTCCCGGCCATATCGGTCGTCAACCTGCTGCTCGCTCGCTACACCATCTCACTGCTGGACGTACGATCCAGAATGGACTGTCGTTGCCTGCTCGCCATGCTCTGTCTAGTCGGCCCATGAGTATGCCCAAGCTGCCCCGTGCACCGGCAGTACCCCGTGGTGTTCACCAAGTTGGCCTCGGCACTGCCCGCAACTTCAGTAGTGCCCGCCCGATCTTCGCGCACTTGGCCGAGAACGTCCCCGTCGCCGGCCGAGCGCTGAGCGAGGCGGACTGGAAGATCCAGCGCAAGAAGGAGATGGCGAAGCTCGCCAAGATCAACGTGAAGAAGGAGCAGAAGAGGAAGGTCAAGGCGGAGAAGGTCGTGTTCCGCGCCGCCAACTCCGTTAACACCGAGGCGTCGCTCGATTCGGTAGTCGAGACGCAGGCTGAGCTCGAGCGCTACTTCCCAGTCGCCACCTCTGCGCCCGCTGTCGCGGCAATCCCCGACGTCACCGCAACGCTGCTCATTCCCCTCGCACCGACGCCCTCGTCGCGTCTTCCGCTGCCCAAAGCCCCTATCTCGGAGTCGCAGCATCCGGTCGTGCCCTTCGCCGAGATGTCGACTTTGCACTTCGACTTTGCCCACCACAACGAACGCGTTGCGGCGTTGTTCGAGCGGCTTGACGCTGCCAATGTGTGGGATTCTGGGGCGCGATGTGATGTGTACGGAGATGCCCGAGGAGAGGCAAACGTACTCCGCGTCGCGTTTGATGGGTGGGACGCGATGCGTGTGAGGAGCGTTATTGGAGAGACCGCGTCAGGCTGGTGTGTCCTTGAGGAAGATCGCCCCATCGAAGACGCGGATCTGGAAGAGATGGACTCGCTCTCACCGTTCGGTGGCCTCAGTCCCCCCATGTCGCCACGTATGGAGGCCGCACCTGTCTTCGGCGACTTCGGCGTCAACATCGACCCGGCGCAGTCCTTCGTGCTGCCTACGCTCGACTTCTCATCGTCCTTTGGCGCGTCGACACTGTCTTCGCTTTCGGATGACGGCGCGAGCGAGGCCGACTACGACTACTTCTCCGACTCTGGGAGCGAAGGGAGCGCCGGGAGCTGGGTCGGCCTTGAGCCTCCCACACGACCTCTCTTCAGCTCTTCGTTCGGTCAGAGGACCCGTATGGAAGACGAGGGCCCGATGGAATCCATGTTCTGAACACCATAAGCACACACGCCTGTTTTACCGCTTTCGTCTGCCGAGGCATCACTGTGTCTGAGATGCATTCCACTCTCCTTGTTTTCGAACGAATTGTATTGACTGGAATGTACGCTAGTTAGGATAGTTGTCTGTTGGGGGCCTGCCAATGATAACATATATTTACGGACTTTCCTGGCTTCGCTGTTCTACTTTGCAACTTCGGATCGAAATCCCGATACGGCCGACGGCAATTCGCGACGGCGGCGCTATTTTCTTTTGACTATCGACCACCATATTATTACCCATCCGGCAAGTCCACTGCTACCCAATGCCTGCAAAAGGGCCCGAAGAGCCTCTGGCGGTCGCGCAAACTCTTGCGCCGGAGTTGCTCGACATTATTTTCCATTTTGTCGAAGACGAAATCGTCGACCTTGGGGAACACAGAGCGCCGCCATGCATGCCTCTGAGCCACGTTTGCCGACGCTGGAGAACTGTTGCACTGGCATGTAGAGCGCTTTGGTCCACGTCGCTACCCCGGATCAGCCAAGAATGGACGGATATCTGCCTTGCGCGTTGTCCATCAACGCCGCTCAACGTATACATCGACGAACGCAACTTCTGGAGTGAAAGTCGTCGCGCTGCCGTCGCGTCGGTGATGCAGGATCATTGGTCTTGGGTCAAAGTCCTGGGTCTTTCCCTGGAACTACCACGAACGGTCACTGGGAGACCCGACCTATCAGGGGCTTGCAAACTCGGCCTCGAAGCGGTACTGCGGTTTCTCACACGCCCTAACGATCAACTGGAGGTGCTGCTATTTGACTTTGGTCTTGAGGTTGGCCTCGGAATTGATGACTGGATCCCCAACGATTACAAGATCCCCATGGACATCTTTTCATCACAGCCTCCGTGTCTTCTACGCGATATCAGACTCGTGCGCTGTAGTCTGCCTAGGGCACCTCTTCCGCAGCTCTTCACACACAGCCTGCGTACCTTGCACCTCGCCAATACTCGGGCGTGGCGTGATGTCGACAACATGATCCAGTACTTTCGCTGCATGCCGATGCTCGAAACCCTCACCTACAAATTCTTCCTCGAGGCGTACCTATTCGACTGTACCCCGTCGCGCACTCATCAAGCCTCTCGCTGCGTCTCACTCCCCCATCTTAAATCCCTTGATCTCGAAGGACACTGGATACGGAACTTATCCATCATCAACTACATTGCCATCCCTTCCACATGTCGTATCACCACCCAGTCTATCGCATGGGATCATGAAGAGCACTACGGGCCGGTGCCGCAGAACGTGGTACTCGACATCACAGCGATGTGTGCCGAGAGCCTGCAACGACACTTCTCTCTCGCAACCTCGCGCAACATCGTGTACCCCATCGTCATGATTCAAGACCTCGCGATCGTTGCCGAACGGAAGTCTGCGAAAGGAGCCATGCCCATCGCCGAGGGGACAGAGCTTCCGGCCAAGCTTCAGCTGAACCTTCCATTTCCGGATTCGAGTGCTCTTAACGAGAGGGCGGCCTTCCGTGCATACCTCTCGCAACCCGTGCTCACCGGAGCGAAGCACTTGTACTTCAAAGAGCGACCGTACAAGCTTTGTCCCGACGTCTTCGACGGATACGTGAACGTTCAGCTACTTACTATCGCGGAATACGCGGATGCAGAGGCCTTCACGGCGGGCCTGCGTTCCAGAGGCGCATCACTCTTCCCGAGTCTGAGGCGCGTGGTGTTCGTACAGTACATCATCAACAGTGCTCGGCCGGATGTCTTGCGGGAAATGGCGTTGGCTTTGCGGGATACTCTTGGTGCAAGAGCGGCATTCGACTGTCTGGAGCTCTCGCTTTGCCTTGGTGTCACCGAGGAGACGGAGAACAAGATACGGGCCATACTAGGCTCGGAGCGGTTTGTTCGTAGCGAATGGCCTACGGAGCTCGGGGCGGTATGTATTCTGTCATCTACACCTATTGCTCGAGTCGCTGATCATGCACCCATGCAGATATTAGATTGACGAGTTGCTAGACACAAGCGAGCAACAGAATGTCACACGTACACTGCTACACTATCTGTAACATGTAGGACCTGCGGTCGAGATGTATCAATGATAGTTCACCCTTTCACATTCACTAGCGGCTGAGAGAGCGCAAATGCGCACCATTCCTCCGAGATGTAACGTCTTGCTTCTACGACTGGCATTGCTTCAGCTTGAACGTACACGACGCGTGAGAGAGACCGGCTTCAGTGCGATGCACTCGACGTCCGTGAGTACATCGTGTAAGTACTTCTGCCTCTTGGATATTGCGAAAGGGAGATTGTGTTGTAGTTGTAGTTGTAGTCGGTTGTCCATCGCACCGACGTTTGGGGTAACGCGTATCTGCGATTTCCGGTGTCCACTGTCCGCTGATGCTTATCCCTCGTGCGCCACGTTTTACTCCAGCACTTGCGAGTCATCTCGCGCGAACACCGCGCAAGGACGTTTGCACGATCGACCGTCAGACGTGGATGGAGATATGGCGGTTGTCAATCCTCCGGGGTGAGCGTCTGCGGAAAGAGCCGATAGGCGCGTCGCGGCGATGGCGCGCGCATGCCGCACAGTCAAGCGCTCACCACCATCATCCATGTCTGGCCTCGCGCTGCACCCTTTGCAATCGCCTTCGGCACCATCTAACTCCGATGCACCCATACATACTCTTCCGGCCGAGCTGCTTGTCATGATATTCGTCGTGATTGCGGATAACATCATCGACATAGGACGGACGAAAGCCCCGCCATGCATGTTTCTCAGCCATGTATGCGGACGGTGGAGAACTGTCGCTCTCGCGTGCCAGGAGCTCTGGTCAACCTTCCTCCCTCGCAAGAGTGTGAAGTGGACGGAAGACTGCCTCGGACGTTGTCCCTCGATACCACTGGAAGTCAGCATCGACATGAACTACGCGTGGGTCGATGGTAGTATCGAAGCAACTGCGCTAGTCATGCAACACTGGGCGCGCATCAGTAATCTGCGCGTGAGACCCGCCATTTACCCCTCGGATACAAATGCTGAAGAGCTGTCCGAAGGCTCTCAAGCCATTCTGGAAACCTTGTTCGGGTTCCTCGCTCGCCCTACCGAGTGTTTGGAAGCACTAGAACTCGATATGAGTTGTGACTTTGGGGTTGTGAATGAGAATTGGATCCCAGTTGCGCTGCCACAGCACCTCTTCGGGTCCCTACCTCCTCCACGGCTTCATCGGCTTAAGCTTACGCTCTGTCGCCTACCAGCGACGCCCCCACTTCAATTGTTCGCGCCTAGCCTGCGCTCACTGGAACTCGTAAACGCCAAAGCATGGCCTGATATTGATACCATGGTCGCCTATCTTCAAACGGTGCCGTTGCTGGAAAGTTTGACCTACCAATTCTGGCTCGAAAGCGACGACAACTTTGATTGTCGTCCGTCTCGCAACCATCGGGCCCGTTGCGTGCATCTACCCAACCTGAGGAAACTCTACCTCAATGGATTATGGACTCAAAACATCGCTATATTCAGCTACATTGCCATACCCTCCCGTTGTGATCTTGCATCCGACTACCACGCTTTGGTCCCTATCGACGATTCTTCGTCAGTCGCGACAGTCATGCGTTTGATCACAATATACAACCAGGCTTTGACTGAGCACCTCGCCCCCGCGATATCAAACGGCGCCTTCTACTCCTACGTCGAGATCTCGGACTATGGGGTCGACGCAGAGCTCGAAACGGAGACCAGACTCGAGCAGATCAAGAGGCAAAAGATGTTGCTGCCCCCCGAGCTCAAAGGCTACTTTTGTCTCCCTTTAACTGAGGTTGACATTATCGTCCAAGCAGCCTTCCGAACGTTCCTCACACAACCCATCTTGACAAACGCGGATCGACTAGCCTTTAACGCTGAGGCATGGAGGCACTGCCCTGATGCGTTCGATCGATACTCCGCCGTTCGCGAGGTCCTCCTAGAAGAGTGCGAAGGAATGACTGCGTTCACATCCGCCCTCCGACTGAGAGGCGCTTCGCTTTTCCCAAACCTTAGGCGTATCGTCTTGCACAGATTGAGCACAGATCAGGCGCTATCGGATTCATCGGTCAAATTGGCAGAGGCCATACGGGATACCCACGTCGCCGATGGCTCTTTCGAGCGCATCGAGCTCGAGCACTGCGACCACGTCACTGAGAGCGTGGACAATGCGATGATAGCTGTGCTCGGAGCTAATCGCGTCGTGCGGAATCAGCCTCTGATGGACAAGATGGATCAGACGTGAGGTGTTTACCTGTACGTCATCTCGTTGCACATGAGGAGCGTACATTTCTGATTCTAGACACCGTTCACAGATTATTCGAGCAAATCATTGGATTTCTTGCCGTAGGATTTCTAAACGATGTAGACCACTCCAGATAATATCGTCCTTCCCTCTGGGCGGCTCAGACGGTCGTGGGATCGTGATGGTGTCCTATGGTTGGACGAATACGCCTGCGATCACTGTTCCCGTCAGCGAATCTGGATTTGGGAAAATCTACATCGTCTGGAAAGTCTACGGCAAGAAATCCAATTTTGTAATAGAGATTCTCATATGTACAAAGTCACAATCGTTCACTACATATGTATCGCAATCGTCCGATGATCATCCCCTTCGGAAAGCTATCCTTTGATTCGACGACCACATTTTTGTTTATGACCGCCATGACTCCAGTCCCTATACGCATGACCGTGAGCAGAGCGATCCCGATAGCAAGATGTATATAGGTACTTCTTCTGACATTCTTTACCGCAATACTGGGCCTCTCCGCAACCTTGACATGTGAACAGCTTCGAGACAGGACGTGTCGTATTGAACTCGCATTCTGGCCAGGAGCAGAAGACGCGCTCCTCTCGCCTGTGCCGTTTGCGCTCCGTAAGTTCATCAAGCCCCAAAGCGGCTCCGGCCTCATTCCAGCGAATAAGGAGAGCTGTGTGTTTTTGACTGCCTTTCGAGCGATAATGGGCAACTTGAAGTTTGGTCAGACAAGGCCACCACTTCTCCTGAGCACGGGTCCGGAGTTCCGAGAGGTACTGTCGCGTCATGGCGCGCTGTTGAGGCGCCGATATGCTGTAGGTGAGTATGCAAAAGTCCTGTATGTCACCACACAGTATGCTTTCGATCTCTAAAGGGAGGTTTCAATCAGCACTTGGATGATTTGACCTTTACTCTGCGGCACAATACTCTTGAACCCACCTTCGCTGAAATCAACATCCTCGTCAGCTGCCAGCATCACGCCGCGAGAGACAATGTCCATTATCTGGTCGCCTTTTACGACCAAACTTGGGGGCTTTCCAGACGATAAGTTGCTCAAAAAGTCTTCTGCGAAATGTCTGATACGTTTGGCGGGAAATGTTAGGTGTCAATGCTGAGTTTGATGTCAAGCGCAGCTCACCTGAAGAATGCGGATACATGACTGTACGCAACCACACGGTAATGCGTGTTTTCGACTGTGCTGACTTTCTCCATTATGGTGGTCATTATGGTGTTTTATTATTGCACCAGAGATTTCCGCTCCCACCGTGTTATCCAGAGATTTTCGCCGCGGCGAACATCCAGAGATTTTTCGG